GAATCAAAATGGAGATGCGTTGTCACCCGTGAGGACTAAGATGGAATGCTCTTTTCCAGTAAAAAGGGTCTCCGGTTCTCTACACTCACCATACGAAACACAGCAGCATTAAGCTGCTATTTTACGCTGGTATTCTGTGAGAGCGTGGTCCTTCCTTTCCGAACTTCCGATCCATTCGTGCTACAACTATATCAGTAATATAGCTGCAGCATGGCAAACAACAATGTGGTACGAAATATGTGTCCGCATATACCTTTAAAATTACATGATGTAATATCGCCAATATATTTTATTTTTATTTTTTACGTGGTAGAGCCCCGCTGCAGCTGTAATATGGTTATAGCACGAATGGTACGGCTCGACCGGGGAAAGACCATGCTCTTCCAGAATACCGACATGAAATAGCAGTTTTACGCTGCTGTATTTCGTATGGTGAGTGTAGAAAAACCAGACACACTTTTTACTAGAAACGAGGCATTTAATCGTAGCCCTTAGAGGTGACACCGCATCTGCATTTTGATTCTTAATCGAGGATAGATATAGATGCCTATGAGCCACAGTATCCACTTACCATCAGGTGGAATGTGTGCGTCGTTTATCACCCTTATTCTATAAAAAAAAACATTGATGATGGACTTTAAAATTGGATTTAAGAGTATCCTCAGTCAACAAGCATGTATGCATAGGTATATTGATGTAAAGGAGGCGAGAGCGGTGTGTCTGGATCTTGCCAAATGAAAAATAATATAATACCAAAAATTATAATTTAATTTGTTTGCTATATTATTTTATAATATCATTTTCCCCGCAGTAAGGAAAGCTCAAAAGAACTGCATTTGCACAAAAGTACGTGCCAGCAGTTCAAACATTCAGGTCCACTTTAAGATGCGCCTCGAGTGCCGGCCTGTCCCAGATGGTTCCCGGACACTGACAATGATTTATATTTCATAATAAAAACGTGAAATGAAAGCATTAGTAATATTTGTCCACTTTAAGGTTAAAAAAGCTAATGTCTTTTTTACTCTTTATATTGAGCCTACTTTCCCAATGTCACGGCTGAGCCCAGGTATCGTATTCGGAGCAGAAAGGGGTCCGCCACGCAACCGCAATATGTTACATGTTTGCGGTCTTCTCATGTCAAAACATTTTAATTTCTTAGGCTCAGACAGAATTTCTCAGTACCTACGTGTAATAGCAGCTTGACACTGCTGTGTTCCGTATTCCATCTTAGTCGTCATGGGTGAAACGCATCTGCATTTTGATTCACAAACGAGGATAGATGTAGATGTCTATGGGCCACAGCAACCACTTACCATCAGGTGGACTGTGTGCTCGTTTGTCACCCTTATCCTATAAAAAAAAATAAAAATAGAAGTTCTTGATTATGGCCAACTCTAGTAAGGTACTTACTAGACACACAATCAACCTAATGGTAAGTGGATGCTGTGACCCATAGACATCTATATCGTTCTTCAAATAAGAGTCAAAATGCAGATATGTTCGCATCCCTGAGCACTTAGATGAAATAAGTCGTTTCCAGTAAAAAGGGTCTCCAGTTTTCTACACTCACTATACGAAACATAGCAGCATTTACGCTGGTATTGTGTGAGAGCGTGGTCCTACGCCGGTCGGTGCAGCGTGGTTCTACCACATAAAATTGGGTTTTTTTGTAATATTAGGGCGATGAAGGATCTTAAATTCAACCTGGTAAGGTGGTGGCTACCGCAGGACATGAACATCTACAACCAAATTCAATCGAAGGAGGCGTGGGAGCGCTGTCCTCACGCAATTAAAACGCACCGAAGCCTAAATCGCGCTATCAAAGTTCTGGAGTTATAGAACAGCTCCGAAATAACACACGGAACGTTGGCCGCTCCTCGGGCCGAACACCTTGTCCTGCTGGAAATCTCCCCTTTTCTTTCCATAGTCAAAGAGACTAGCCATTGTCACACGTATTGTATACAATGTGCTTTAGCATCGGCTTCTGAAGCTGTTTTGTGGATAATTACTACCATATGTTTATCTCTGCTTACCCCAATGGTTGACTGGGAGAGAATTTCTTAAGGCATTAAGTCCGCCATATGTACGATTTTACTTTTATGCATAAAAGTTTAAATAAATAAATAATTTCTTATTCGTTTTAGTTTTTTGAACTCGGCTTTTACTTTTTATTAAGAATTTAATTTTTCTATATTTAAATTAATTATTGTTCTACATTGTGCTTATTATTGCTATATAGATGTTCCTCGGGGAGTATCATATTAGTTTAATAATTTATATACAATTTATAAACACATTTTATGAAATATGACGGCTAATAGTAGTTATCGAAACATGTTGCCACGACCGGTGCGTACTAGACATGTTTGATCAAATAACATGAACTGTATTTTAAATTAATACAATGGAAATGGAATACAAACTATTATACGGATTAGTGTATTGATATGTGGTAATAAAAATAGTGGTGTATAGATTCTAAGGTACGCACTTACATATACAACTTTCAGAAAAAATGCAAACGCGCCCTTTTACGATATATATTTGACAATACGATATTCATACGATATATATGACGGTAGAATATGGGGCGCATGTTAAAAAACGTCTGAATCAGACATAGAAACCGTTGCTATAGTGAAAAACGGTCAAGAGGGACATCATTATTAAGATCATCAATATAGACGCGGCACGCGCTTATAATTTCATATTAAACTAATTAAATCATCCAATTATTGCTCATTAACGCAGAGTTAGTTTCCGCGTGAGCGCGCACTTTGTTTTCACAATTTATCTTCATCCTTATGGAAGAAATTTAAGAAAGGAAACTGTTGGAAGATATCTAATTTGAAATTTTATATTTAAATTTCATTATAAAAGCATAATAAAAGCTATAAAAACAACCGCCTTAGCAGGAAGTGTGTTAGCCATCTACCATACATTTTATGAAAGAGTGGCTTTTGGAATAAAATAAATGAATAATATTATTAATATATCCATTTTACCTAAACCTTTATTTTTATAGAATTAAGGTGAAAAACGAGCACACATTCCACTTGATGGTAAGTAGATGCTGTAGCATATAGAAATCTACATTTATGCTCCATTAAGATTCAAAATTCAGATTCGTCGTCACCCCTGCGGACTAAGATGGAATGCCTCGTAGCCAGTAAAAATGATCTCCGGTTCTCTACACTCACCATACGAAACACAGCAGCATTAAGTTGCAATTTGACGCTGGTATTCTTTTTTTTTATAGGACAAGGGTGACAAATGAGCACACAGTCCACCTGATGATAAGTGGTTGCTGCGGCCCATACACATCTACATATATCCTCTATTACAAATGAAAATGCAGATGCGTTGTCACCCGTGAGGACTAACTAAAGAGTTGCTGCGACAAAAAATTAAGGAAATTAATGTATTTGGCCTCTCAATACATTTATAAAAATGTAATGTACGTACACAAAAATAAAAGTATTTTTACAAAAACAAGTGATATTCATTCTGTAAATACTAGGAACAGACACAAGCTAGTAGTGCCAGTTACTCGACTCCATCGAGTCAGTAATTCATTCTTGGGGCGATGTATACGCTTTTACAACAAAATTCCAGAAAATATACAAAGTTTGACCTGCTCAAAGTTCAAAAGCTTTATTAAACTAATAGTATTAAAGAATTTATGGATGATAATAACCCCTGGAAATGAGGTGATCGCTACCAAGCTATTTCTAACTTGTTGTTTTGTTAATTTGTGTAACATACATGATTGTAAGCTGTTATTTAAAAAAAAGTCCCGCTGGGTTTCTTGCTGGTTCTTCCCAGGACAGAGGTTTCTTTTTTCGAACCAGTGGTAATTAAACAAAATAGTGACATTTAATAAGTATTATTTATAATCTATATTAAATAAAAAAAGTTTATGTTTCTGTTTCTGTTAGTCTAGTGGTCGTTCGGATGAAATAAATAAAGTGAAATGAAATAAAATTTTATATTTTGACATATGAAATTAAAATTTCGTTTCTCAAAGTTAAACATATTTTAAAATCTACTACCGTTTCAAAACGAGGCTCCTTTGTTTCTCATTGTACATGGACGCTGTGGCCCACAGGTCATAGTTTTTTTTTCATTCATCACTGCTTACCAAGAGTCTACTGCTGGGCATCGATTTCGACTATAGATTGTCTCATTTTTATCTTTACCTTTATATTTTTTAAATAACATTACCCACACTAGTTTTTCTCCTGTAACGTGGAGGTAGTTTACATACATAAAGGACAAACATCAAGGCCCTAACATTTGTAGGTCATACAAATATTTGTTCCATGAGGGATTCGAACTCATTGCTAAGCCACTGTGCCACGGAGCCACTAAAACTCATACGACAAACATTTGCCATAGTTGCTAGGCTTAGCAGGTGAGATGGCAACAAAGCAAATATTATTTTGAGTAGTTATTAGGTAGTTGCTGCTACCGATGTCCTGTTTCATTTCTCTGTATCCCCTCTTACAATACTCCCGGGATAAAATGGGCCAGTGGACTCTCTTAAGCCTCGGTCACACACAGCGAATACTCGCTGCGATTAGGCACTCGCAGCGAGAACTCGCTGTATGTGACAGGCTATTTGCTGCGAATAGATTCATTCGCCGCGAGTTGAATTCGCTGCGAATTGAATTGAACATGTTCAATTTTTCTCTCTGCGAATGAGCACTTGCTGCGAGAATTCGCTGTATGGCAGGGTACTCGCTGCGACTAGCCATTCCAATCAGCGCGCCGCTCCAGACTACACGCCTGTGTATAGGTCGTTTCGTTACTGCATGATACGTGTGTGCTGGTCAATCAAATGAGTCAACCGATAAACGATTCTCTAAAATGGGGAAGTTTCGATATAATTCGTTTCTTGGGCGTGGATGTTGGGTATACCAGTAATTAAAAAAAAAACGGAAAGGCCTTCATTGTTTAAAGAATTAATTGAGTTGAGATTCGAAATAACAACCGAAGAGCAATTGAAAAGAAAATTGAAGAATATAAAAGATACACATTATAGATAATTCTCGTGTAGTACTCGCTGCGTGTGACAGGCAGGCAGCGAATTGTCGCTGCGAGTAATATTCGCAGCGAATACGCGAGCACTATACGACGCTATGAATTATTTACTAAGTCGTAACAAAATGATTTAATAATAGAATAATATAATAAATAGATAACAATTAATTTCCCGTGGAGTTTATTTATACAATAGCATTTTAAATATATCTCAAACCCCGCTCGAGCTGCGTCTACAGAGTACAGAGAGACAAAAGTTTTTTTTGTAACACAAAAGTATTATTCTCTGTGCTGCAAACAGAAAATAATTTTCTGCTTCAAATGTTTCCAAGATATTATAAAGCACACTCCTTCCTGCTAAGATTAAAAATTTTCACGAATACCCTCAATTTGCAAAGACAACTGAAGTTCTTGTTACTTTTTCAAATGTATTTTTTTTTTTAGTTTTCACCTTTGAAAGGAATATAATACAATATATTTTTTCCTTCAATATCAATAAGTATTATCTAAATAATCTATTATTAGATAACTAATACGATATGCGTACGATATACGCATGACGATAGAATATGGCGCTGTTTAGAGGAATAGAATAGAACAGAATAGAATAGAATCACTCCTGAGCATGGGTGCTCAGGCTGCCCCGCGTATTCTGGGGGGGGCAAAATTCCGCTCGTGACTAATGCTGCTCGGGGCAAGCGGAGCAATACAACCAAGGCGACCCCTGTCACGCTATCCGTGAATTTTTGCAACATCAGGGGACTTCATTCCAACCTTAACGCTGTCCATTACCATCTAGAGACGGCGAAGCCGGCCTTGCTCTTTTTAACCGAGACTCAGGTGTCCTCTCCGGCTGATACTTCATATCTCTCCTACCCGGGGTACAAATTGGAACACTCCTTTGTGCCCCGGGCTGGAGTTTGTGTATACGTCAGAGAGGACATCTGTTTTCGACGCCTCGGCAGCCTTGAAGGTACGGACCTGTCCATCCTATGGCTGCGCGTAGACAGCGACGACCATCCCCGCGTCTACGGGTGCCTCTATAGGTCCCATAGCGGTAATGCCGACACAGACCGACTCATCGACCACGTCCAAATGGCTGCAGACTCCGTGCTACAACAGGTCCCATCCGCAGAGATCGTGATACTCGGTGATTTCAACGCCCACCACGCTGAATGGCTTGGTTCTCGTTCAACCGATCATGCGGGTAGATCTGTCTATGACTTTGCTTTGGCATATGGTCTAACACAACTGGTTACTTCGCCCACGCGGATCCCAGATGTGGAAGACCATGTACCTTCCCTGTTGGACCTTCTGCTGACCTCTCATCCGGACGGATATCAGGTCTCCGTCGATGCCCCTCTGGGCTCTTCGGACCATTGTCTGATCCGGAGCACAGTGCCACTTACGCTCCAATCGCAGTTGCGATCTACAGCTTGCCGCCGTGTTTGGCACTATAGGTCAGCTGATTGGGACGGGATGCGGTCTTTTTTTGCATCCTACCCTTGGGGGCGGGTTTGCTTCTCGCCGGAAGATCCCAGCGTTGTTGCCGATTCTGTTGCTGATGTGGTACTTCAGGGTATGGAACTTTTTATTCCATCCTCTGTGGTGCCCATCGGAGGCAGATCCCAGCCATGGTTTGGTCGCTCCTGTAAAATAGCATCACGCTATAAGCAGGAGTGCTACCGGGCCTGGGCTGACGCATCAACGTCTCGGGATTTAAACACCAGCGCACTTAAAAAGAAGTATAATTCCGCCTCCAGGTCCTTCAAAAGCGTCATTGCCAAGGCAAGGTCTGAGCACATCGGCAGAATTGGCGAGAAGCTAGTTCGCCTTCCTTCGGGAACCCGTGCATTCTGGTCTCTCGCCAAGGCTGTCCAAGGGAACTTCTGTCAGCCATCCCTCCCATCTCTGCACAGAGAGGACGACTCACTGGCCCATGCCGCAAAAGAGAAAGCCGATCTGTTGTGCTCTCTTTTTGCGTCCAACTCGACTCTAGATGACGGGGGGAACACACCGCCGACCATCCCGCGATGTGAGTGCTCCATGCCGGATGTGCGATTTACACAGCGCTCGGTTCGCAAAGCACTCTTCTCCCTGGACGTCAGCAAGTCGAGTGGGCCCGATGGAGTCCCTCCCATTGTGCTGAAGACGTGTGCTCCGGAGTTGGCACCGGTTTTAACGCGTCTTTTCCGGTACTCCTACTCCCAAGGCGTAGTCCCGAATTCATGGAAGACAGCTTTGGTCCACCCGATCCCTAAAAAAGGCGACCGCTCAGACCCGTCCAACTACAGGCCTATTGCCATCACCTCCTTGTTCTCCAAAATAATGGAATCCATTATAAACTGCCAGCTCATGAGGTACCTTGAGGATCACCAGCTGATCAGTGACCGTCAGTACGGTTTTCGTCGGGGTCGATCAGCAGGTGATCTTTTAGTTTACTTAACTCATAGATGGGCGGAGGCAGTAGAGTCCAAGGGGGAGGCATTGGCCGTTAGTTTGGACATAGCGAAGGCCTTCGATCGGGTCTGGCACAAGGCGCTTCTTTCGAAGCTTCCTTCCTATGGGCTTCCCGAGAAATTGTGCAAATGGATCACCAGTTTCCTTGCTGATCGGAGCATCAAGGTCGTAGTAGACGGTGCATGCTCTGATTACAAGCCTATCAACGCTGGTGTTCCACAAGGCTGCGTGCTATCACCAACGCTGTTTCTCCTGCATATCAATGATATGTTGCTAACTGGTAGCATTCATTGCTATGCAGACGACAGCACTGGGGATGCCTTATATACCGGCCGTGCCAATATTTCTCGGGAAAACGTCGCCGAGTACCGGGACAAACTTGTGTCTGAAGTCGAGTCTTTGCTTAACAAAGTCTCGGATTGGGGCCGACTAAATCTAGTCCAGTTCAATCCCCAGAAGACACAAGTTTGCGCGTTTACCGCTAAAAAGAACCCCTTTGTCGTATCTCCTCAGTTTCAAGGCACTCCCCTTGCTGCCTCAGCCAGTATCGGAATCCTTGGCGTCGACATATCGAATAGCGTGCAGTTTCGTGGTCACTTGGAAGGGAAGGCCAAATTGGCCTCTAAAAAGCTTGGCGTGCTCAGCAGAGCGAGACAGTATTTCATGCCGGCACATCGCTTGCAACTTTACAAAGCGCAAGTTCGGCCCCACATGGAATACTGTTCTCATCTCTGGGCCGGGGCACCCCAGTGCCAGCTCCTTCCACTTGACCGCATCCAGCGCAGAGCGATTCGAATCGTCGACGACCGAGTTCTTTCCGATCGGCTCGATACACTGGCACTGCGTAGAGATGTTGCATCTCTTTGCGTATTTTATCGCATCTATCAAGGGGAGTGCTCTGAGGAATTGTTCGGACTAATTCCAGCCGCTCAATTTCACCATCGCACGTCGCGACAAAACTCGCGTTACCATCCATACCATCTGGATGATTGGCGGTCCACCACTGTGCGATTTAGAAGAAGTTTTCTCCCTCGCACAACTTCTTTGTGGAATCAATTACCACCAGCGAATTTTCCGAACCGATACGACTTAGGAACCTTCAAGAAAAGAGCTTACACCTTTCTAAAAGGCCGGCAACGCATCTGCAATTCCCCTGGTGTTGCGGTTGTTCATGGGCGGCGGTAGTCACTTAACATCAGGTGAGCCGCATGCTCGTTTGCCCCCTATTCTATAAAAAAAAAAAAAAAAGAAAAAGAATCATTTTAATAATATTTTTTCTTTTATAAAAATTATTACCTCCACACTAGAATTTCCTTCTGTATACCACGGGGGCAGTTTATATACATAGATTTCACAAGGACAAACATCCAGACCCAGAACAATTATTTGTAAGCCATACAAATGTATTCGAACCCGCAGCCTTTAGCGCTGCAACTCATTGCTAAGCCACTGCACCACGGAGCCGTCAAAATTAATATAACATTTAAAAACACATAATTAAAGTTATTAAATCTTTCATAGGTTCGGAAAATACCTCTTTCCTGGGAAGAACCATCAAAAAACACAACTATTTTTAAAATATTAATTGTTTCAATATAATATTGAAACTGACCATTTAAAAACAGCATGGTAGCGATTACCTCATTCGCAGGGGTTATTATCAATCATGTATTCTTTAGTACCTATAATAAACCTTACTAAACAATTTTTGTTTAATAAAAAAATTTTAACAGATAATTTAAAATTAAAAATTTTGTACAACCGACTTCAATGTAAATTATTAAGAATAACTCAAAAACTATTAGTCAGACCTTAATCATATTTATATGGGGCCACATGTGAAGCACCAGCTTTCAAATAAAAAAAGAATCATCAAAATCGGTTCAACCAGGAATAAGTTATGAGGTAACACACATAAAAAAACATACAGTCGAATTGAGTATCGTCCCCTTTTTGAAGTCGGTAGAAAACGCCTGCATACTTTCTGGCGGTGTAAGACGCCATAGTATCATTGACGGCATGTCGTAAAAGATGACATTAGGGTCTTCCATATAAAAAACTGCGGTCGCCAACCGACCTGCCAAGCGTGACAACTGTGGTAGATATCCCCCTTGTGATACAATCTGTGAGGAGGCAGCTGAGGACTTTGATTGGTTGTAATAAATTAATCCATAAAAAGATATTATATTTTATCCATTGACTTAAGACAATATTGCTGCGAATAAATTAATTATTTTTTTAAACTCGTTATTGAGAAAGTTTTTAACGTGGTAGAGCTACTCTGCGACTATACATATTATAATGTTGGTGGACGAATAGGTTGGCTAGACGGGAAAGAATCACTTCCTCGTAGATTATTCGATCGATTAATTCGATATATGTTTTTTTTTTATGTATGTTCATCATAGCTTAATATAATAATAACTTATACTACTATCATAACTTTTTACTAGGTGGACCATTTCGATGATTATTTTTTTATTTGAAAGCTGGTACATCTCGTGTGGTCCCATGTGAATTTGATCAAGGTCAGACCAATAGTTAT